AGAGATGAGATAAAAAAAAAAAAGACATTTCCACAATACAATGTAATAAAAATGCCAAACCTAGAGAACAAAGATAGAATTTTAAAAGCCTCAAGAGAAAAATATCAGGTCATATTTARAGGCAAGACAATCAGAATCACTTCTGATTTCTCAGCACAATTTCTACAAGTCAGGAAGAGTAGCAGTGATATGTTCTAAGCCCTGAAAGAAAATAATGTTAATGAAGACTGCTACAATGAGAAAAGCTGTTATCCATAATTGAAGATGAAATAAAAACCTTCCAAGAAAAGCAAAAAATAGAAAAATTCATAACTACTAAACAGGCATTTCAGAACTTATTAAAGGAATACTGCACATGGAAGAAATAAAAAGTAAACCTCAGAACTCAAAAAGGAACAAATYTCATTTGAAGAATAGTTAAGCAAGTAAGAAACAGGACTAAATTAAACATGATAAGTAAATCAAAATGTCAGTAATTAATAAAAGACCTCTCTATATTAACATGTAATTTAAATGATCTACACTTTCCAATTAAGAGACATAGGCTGGTGGATAGACCAAACTATATGTTTTTTTGCAAGGGATGTACCTTACATAGACAAGCTGAAAGTGAAAGGATGGGTACTGAAAACCATGTGAATGAAGCAAAAAAAGAAGCAGGAGTAGCTAGTCTCATTTCAGAAAAGCATATTTTATACCAAAATTAATCAGAAGTGACAAAAAATGTCATTTTATATTTATAAAGGGAACAATACAACAAGAATATAAAATAATAATAAATATTTAAGACCAAAGCAAGTGTGCGACTAATTACATAAAAGAGACACTACTACTTCTTAGGTCTTCTTCAATTTCTTTCTTCAAAGTTCTATAGTTTTCATTGAAGAGATCTTTGACTTCCTTGGTTAGAGTTATTCCTGTTTTTTTTTTTTGAGGATACTATGTACAAATATGTAACAATAAATCACATCAATATGTATAACAACACTGCATCAAAAAATGTGGAAAAAAATTATGCAGAAAAAAAAGAGCAGACATCTCCTCCATCCCAAGACCTTGTCTTCCTTCCATTCAATACTCTGGACATTTATTAAATACAGCTATAAAATAAACTGTATTTTCTTCTGTGTTTAACCATCCAGAGTTCCAGGACAAACTATAGGTGATGAAAATATATGTTTATTWATTTTCCATGTTTACTGCTTAAAGTTATGTTGGGTATTCTACTGTACTCCCCTCCCTCAAATTTACACATTGAAATCACACTGTCTACTACCCCAGAATGTTACCTTGTTTGGAAAAAGGGTCATTGCAGATATAATTAGTTATTATATGGTCATACTGGAGTTAAATGAGCATTAAATCAGTATGACTAGTGTAATTATTTAAACAGGGGAAATTTAGACAAAAAAATAGGCATCATACTATATAGACACTAGAGTTATGCATTTGCAAGCCCAGAAACTACCAGAACTTAGAAGAGAAGATGCACTGTCTTGTCAATATCCTGATTTTGACATTTGGCTTCTAGAACTGAAAAGCAATAAATCTTTGTTTTTCTAAGCCAGACAGTTTGTTGTGTTTTATTACAGTCGTCCTAGGAAATGAATCCAAGTTTTAACACAGGTTTGTGTTATAATGGGTTTGGGTTGGATTTCTTACAAGATCCATTTCAACAAATTTGTATTACTACCATAACAGGCTTATAGATTTGTTTTGCCTATGCTCCTGTGCAAATTTTTGGGTTATCACCCGTGTCTTTATATCCTTTATCAGTTTTGAGGCATTGGGTTTCAAGAACTTGACTTTTTCACTAACTAGATGTATAATTCAACTCACTGATCTTCAGTTCCCTGATGATAATTATATTTGACCTAGAGAACCATAAACTTATTTATGATGATCAAAAGAGATAATAAGCAAGTCTCAGCAATTTAGTGAGGCCCAAAGAAATTTGGTTAGACCCTGTCTCAAAATAAAAAACATAAGAAGGGCCTGGGGATGTGGCTCAGTGATTAAGTACCTCTGGGYTCAACATTCATTTAAGGACAGTGTTTTGATAGCCAGAAAAAGCTAAGCAGGGGAAATCACAGAAAAGRATATTATCAGATAGCTCAGGGTTGTCCAGTGAGACAGAAAAACCTTAGAACCAGACCCTATTTCTAGTAGTGKTTGTTCTTATTCCCCTTGTGCAAGGAGTTTTTAGAGAACTTTGTTGAGCATTGTATTAATCCACTGCTGTCACTACAAAGAAATACCCAAAAGAAAAGATGGCTTATAAAGAAAAGAGGCTTACTTATCTCACAATTTTAGTTGCTGGAAATCCAAAAATATGATGTGGGCTGTGCAAAGCTCCTATCTTGGCTGTGTAAGCTCATGGCAAAAGTGGATGTGGTAGTAAGCAATCACATTCCAGACAAGAAACTAAGGAGAGCAAATGGGGATCTACAATTCCTTCTGGGGGCACACTTCCAAAGGACTAAATACTTTCTACCAAGCTTAAACTCTTAAATGCTCCATACAGCCCCAGTGTCACCACCATGGAGATCAAGCTCCCAACACAAGAGCTTGGGTGTACCATATCCAAACCATAGTAAACATCTTACTAACTGATGTAATATGATTAAAAGGAAAAACAAAAACAAAGGAGACTGTCTTTCCCGATGTGCACTCTAGGTACTGTTATTGAAAGTCAGTTGATTTATTTGTGGACTTATTTCTGGGCTTTCTATCCTATTCTACTGGTAATATGTCTGTTTTATGCTAATACCTTGCTGTTTTGATTACTGTAGATCTGTAATGTATTTTGAAATCTCTTAGTGAGATGCTTTCAGCTTTGTTCTTTTGGACAAAGATTGCTTTGGCTCTTTAGAGTATTTTATGCTTCTGCTTGAATTTTAGAATTTTTTTTTTCTGTTCCTATGACAAAAGACATTGGAATTTTGATAGGAACTTTATTGACTCTATATCACTTGTGGGAATAGAAAATTATAATATTGATTCTTCTAAAAATGTATGAGCATCAATATCTTTCCATTTATTTTTTTCATTGATGTTTTATAGTTTGCAGTGTAGAGCTTTCACTTCCTTGGTTAAATTTACTCCTAAAGTAGGTTGTATGTTTAATTCTTTTTGTTGCTATTACAAATGGGATTTTTTCCTTAATCATTTTTTTCAGATAAATCAGTGTTAGCATATAGCAATGCTGCTGAGTTTCATAAGTTGATTTTATATCCTGCAACTTTACTGAAATTTTTATCAATTCTAATAATTCTTGGTATATGTAGTGTTTTCTAAATATATAATCAATGTTTTCACAGAAGAATGAAAATTGATCTTTATATAAGAAACTTGGAATGGGCTAAAAACTTAAATATAAGACCTGAAATTATAAAGCTAATAGGCAAAAATATAGGGGAAAACCTGCATAATATTGGTTTGGCAGAAATTTTTGAATAAGATTTCAACAGCACAGGAAACAAAAGTAAAAATACACAAATGATATTTTATCAAACTGAAAAGCTTCTGCACAGAAAATGAAATACTAGAGTGAAAATACAACTCACACATTGGAAGAAAATGTTTGCAAAATATATATTACATAAGGGGACAATATTTTATATATAAGGAACTCAAACTATTGAGTTTGAGTTAATATAAGATAATATAACAAATAGCCCAATTAAAGATGGGCAAGGAACTGGAATAGACATTTCTCAAAAGAAGAAATAGGAATGATCAACAGATAAATGCAAAACTGTACAACATCTCTATTCAGAGAGAAATGTAAATTAAGACAAAAATGGGATATCAAATGAATTATCAAATGATTAAAAAGTGTTGGCAAARATACAGAGAGAAGGGAATGCTTAATACTGTCAGTACTATTGTATATTAGTAGAACTATTTTGGAAAACATCATTGAATTTCCTCAAAAAATTACAAGTAGAATTACTTTATGATCCAATAATCCTGCTACAGGGATTATATCCAAAGTAATTGAAATCCACATGCCAAAGAGATGTCTGGACCCACATATTTATTGCAGCATTATTCATAATAACTAAGATATAGAAACAATCTAAGTTTCTATCAGTGGATGACTGGCTTAAGAACTGTGGTACATACACAATGGAAAATGATTCAGCCTTAATATAGGAAATTTTGTTATTTCTGACAACATGAATGAACCTAGAGGCAATTGTTATTGAAAATGGAATAAGCCAGACACAGAGAGATGAATAATGTGTGATCTCATTTATAAGTGGAAGTTAAAAAATTAAAATGGAGAGTACAACAGTAGTTAACAGAAGAGGTGGAGAAAAACATGTAGGCATTTGTCATCTGGTACAAAGTTAGAGAAGCAATTTCTGGTGTTTCATTGCATGGCAAGATGACTATAGTTGGTAGTAATATATTGTATATTTTAAAATATTTACAAGAGAGGATTTAAATGTTCTTCCCTTAAAGAAAAGATAAATCTTTACACCTATGGATATGCTAATTTTGATGATTTGATAATTCTAAAATGTAAATATGTAAAGAAACATCACATTGTASCCTATAAATATACACAGTTACTATTTCTCAACTAAACAATGTTAAAAAAGCAAGGGGTTGAAGTAGATGTTACCTAGTCATGCAGAAATAAGAACTGATTTTTTTTAAATTGCTCTTAAAGGTTTCTAATGAAAGCTATTTGTTTGTATTTGCGTTGGAATACATTGTTTGTATATTGCCTTACTAGTTGAGAGTAAATTAGTCACTTTCTCATATTGCTGTATATGTCAAGGTGAGTTTTTAGGCCAAACAAAAGACTGCCATTTGCTTCATGTGTGTCTGATCTTGCAGAGAAGAAAGGAATATTTTAGGGTCTGACCTCACAGAGGAAAATGAACCATTTTTGTAAACATCTTCTATCAGTTTAGGAGGAAATAGAAATAGTTGAGCCTTAAAAAACCAATCATTATATCACATTTATTCAATTTCATACAACTTACCCAGGAAGTATACAGCTGGAGGACAGATTGTCTCAGTGCTGTGGACAAGTTATAGTCCTCAGAACTGTGATGCACTTGGTGTCCAGCCCAAATAATGTTAACCTCTGCAAAACACATAATTTGAAAGGAGCCATGAAAAAAAGAACAAAGTAACTTCCATGTCCAGTTATGCATGTTGCTCTGTTGAGTGAGGATGAAAAATCTGGAATATCTCTGGAAAAGTTAGCCAACACCATGATAATTGAAATAAGGCTCCTCAAATCATTTTTTGGAAACAGGGAGTCAACAGAGTATAAATAAATAAAAACCTGAAACATAGCCAATAAATATGTATAGCATATATGACATAATTAATGCCTCTAGCAAACTAAAATAACTTCTGAAATTTATACTTTACCAACATATTACAATATGACAGATCATAAAAGCCAACTGGAAATGTGGTAACAATGTAGTCAATGGATAGTGATGATTTTTCAGTATGTGATAACATTTCTAATTAAAGAAGATTCCTGATGGAAGAAATTAGTACATAAATTTTTGAATGAATTATTACATAATATTATTTCCCGATGTCTTTTGAAAAGTCTTTAAAAATGTTGAAATAAGAAGAAAAATATCAATATTTGGTCCTAAGATTTAAAGTTTTCTTTTTATTTACAGAAATATATTAACTAATGGTTACATAGGGTTTTTCCCATACTTTACCAAGATACTATTATATTATAAAATCTTCCCAAATAGTAGATACTGTTCTTATAATAAAGAAGACAATGAATGTTTTTATTTTTATCACACACACTCAAAAGTAGAGTGGCTTGTTTTGCCTACAAGTATGACTTCATAATGGTCCTTCAAAAAAAAATTGAACAGAAGAGGCCCAGTGACTTTGTTTTCTGCCCATATTTTGCCTTCTGTAGATATTTTTCATCTTAAGAAAATCCCAGCTAAAAATGTTACATTATATATATAACACTCAATTAAAAACATGTATTTGTTCTTACTTAACCTAACTTCTGTTTGGTCTTTTGCTACAAATCCAGGAGATGGAATAGACCATATGATATGATCATTGTACCATTATCAGTATAGATAAGAAATTAAATATCTTAGGATTGGATGTATGGGAATGGAACTATGGACCTTAATTGTGAAAATACCAGTCTATTGATCTGGGCATTTGCTGTATACTCTCTGACCACTTTGTTTAGGGAGTTGCCAAACATAACATGAAAAGCAAAATTATCTTAGTAAACAAGTGATAGCTCAGAGATATAAGAAGAATTTAATTTTGTGAGAGTGAAAATATTGTGAACAGGATTATGAATAGGTAGGTTTATCATTTTTTYCTATAGAAGTATTTTCATTACCCAGCTTTTGATAAGTAACTTACATACTGAATAATTAATTTTTAATCATTTCTAAAATTGACACTGTATTTCTACCCAAGAAATTAATAAAATGGTTCCTATACAAATGAGGACTAATTCACCATGATGACCTCTCAAACTTCCCTGCCATAATTTTTGAAATAATTTAGAAGTAAAATCTCTGGCTTATTGATCAATACACACAGCTATACATAAGAGATATAAGAAACCCTGTGACACTTTTTCTCTTCATGTGTTGTGTGGTGTGATTTCAAGAGGTAATAAAGTTGATGAATCTCCTAAGGTTTTAAGACTGTTTACAGATTGAACACTTGAAGCAATCTAAACACTATTTTCCCTTTAGAACACACTCAGCACCGAACATTTCAGAACTTATTATTTATAAATCTTCCTTACAAGTCAACACATTGTATATTTTTGGACTTCTCAGAATTTAATTTTAAAAATTCATCCTAATGCATCATAAAATAAGTTAACAAGGGGATGAGCTAATTAGATGAGGTTTCATTAGAGACTCATAATATATATTGGAGCTACTTCCTTATAATCTCCACAGAAGAGAATGGTGGAACAAAGAATCCACAAAGGTGGAGGTTAAAGACCTGTCTTTTTAGTTGTTTTAAAAGCATTTACTTCCTATCACAAACTGTGTGTAACACAAGCCTTCCTTCAATGAAGTACAGCTGTATAAACAGGGTACAGTAACAGGATCCTACCACCTTACCTCTGTCACTTTTTAGAAATGGGAAAAACAAGCAGGAAAACTGGACTTTTTTTTGCAATTTATATTCAGCCTGGAAGAAAGTTAATTTTCAAAATGATTACAAAAATCATTTTATAAAAAAACTGTTCTAATGATTCTTTTGAGAACTAAATGAGAAAAGGTTAATTGTGCATTTACATGTTTATCTTCCCTAATACTTGGACTGACAAATTGTCTGTTGTAAGGAAAGAAAACAAAAGAGGGAAAATATATTATTCTGAATGAGCTTCTTTCTATGAAAAAAWTAATTAATATAATTACATGTTCTTTTCAACAACAATATTTTTCTTTTCCTATAAGCAAATTATAGACTGTATAAGTTATGCAATGTTATTATAATTTTTCAATCACATAATTAGAAACAATTATACTGCTTTCCAGTGAGTGCCAAAGTGTAGATTTGCATAAATATATATATTATTAATACCTAGTCAACAATTCAATTAATTTGGCCAAAATTTAAGTAATATTCAACTGTACTGTATTCTTGAGATGTTAACTTTTAAATATTTTAATAAATATAAATGACAGTAAAAACTATCCTTTGAATATTAAGTTTTATAAGATTTTAACAGATACAGCTATGTAATCACTACCACAGTCAAGATGTAATCAGTTTCATCAACCCCCAAGTCTCCCCAACCCACATTGTGGAGGAGGGAGACAGAATCTAAGATGGTCCCTGACTCAGATGATGATCTCATGGATTTTGAATTGATAATGCAATAGGGCAGAATTTTGTGACTTTGGGAGAGGCCAGAGTCCCTTGATTGGGGAGGAAATATGAATGAGTGAGATTCAGGGGGTGTGGAGGGGATGTTCCCTGGTAACTCCAGTCCACTGGTAGTCATGCTGATTTATAATTCTCTCCATTTGGGTGTGAGCTGATTTAACAACTCCCAGAGAATAGAATGGAAGAGGTAATAGGGTGCCCTTGTTGATATTAAAATTAAAAAAAAAAAAAGACACTAGCTTATGCCACAGTTACTCACTTTTGTTTTTGCATGCTGTCTGAGGAAAGCCAGTTGTGTGATGTGAACTGCATTTTGGAGAAGTGCAGGTGACAGAGAATTGGGAGAGTTGTCTGACTGCCCAGCCAGGAAGGAATAATCTTCTGAGTCCAAATGCCACAAGGTACTGAACCCTGCCAATAATTGGTATGTGGGTTTGGAAGCAGCTCTTCCCCCAGCCAAGCCTTCAGATGGCACTGCAGATTACTGAAAGCGGCACCATTGAACTGCAACTTTATGAAGCTTGAGATAGAGGAATATCTCAGCCATCCCCACGTTCTGACTCACAAAAATCATAAGGTAATAAAAGTGCCTTATTTTAGGCTACTAATTTGTTATAAAACAATAAAAAAATAATGCAGAGGTCTACTCCCATCTCTACTCTCTGCCCCTGGCATTAACTTATTTGTTTTCTTATAGTTTTACCTTGAGTACATCATATAAATGGAATCATAAGCATTTAGCTCTTTGGCAYCTGACTGCTTTTGTTTATCAAAATATGTTAAAAAATTCCCCCATTTTGTGGTGATTATTGTAGTTTGTTCCTTTTTATGGCTGAGCAATATTCCATTTATATAAATGTGCCAAGTTTGTTGTTGTTGTTGTTTTTATTTATTCATGTGAAGAACATTTCAGATGTTTCCTGTTTTCTGACAATTACACATAAAGYTTCTGTCACCATTGTCATTGAGATTTTGTGTGAACAGGGGTCTTCACTGGGGAGTAGGATTGCTAAGCTGTACAGTATGTTTACATTTAGTTTAAGAAACCATCAGATGTTTTTTCCAAAGTGGCTGTATATTTTTGTATTAGCTCCAGCAGTGTGCAAGTAGTGTTCAAGTTGCTGCACATCTCTGGAAGAACTTGAAATCATTCATTTTATTTTTATTTATTTATTTGATAGTTATTATGATAGGTATCACATTGAAATGTTAATTTGCATAGCTGTCACGGATAATGATAATGATCCATGTGTTTATTTGCTATCTGCAATCTTATTTTTGAAGTAACTATTAAAAATGTGTGCCCACATTTAGTTGGATTGTTTACTTCAGGAGATATCAATATATTCTCSATATATTCAATATATTCTGCATATAAGCCCTTTATTAGATATGAGACTTCCATCTATTCTGTCCTAGGCTGTAGTTTGACTTTTCATTTTGTAATAGTATCTAATAAAGAACAAACTTTTAAAAAAAATTGCATGAAAGTTAATATACATACTTGAGAGTTGTATTAAGTTATAACTGTGTTTAACAGAAAACAAAGATTATTTTGGAGAAATGTTTTAGAATACTGTGAAATCTGTTTGTGTATATGTTGTCACCTATGGATTGGGGAGAAGTGACCCTTTAGGTTAATTCAAGATATAAACACAGGTCTACATAGAATTTCTACACTTGTATATGACAGCCATTTAATTCCCAATACTGGGCAGGCCAGAATGTCCTGGGGCACCTTTGGATTGATGGTGTTGCCTTCACTCATAGACTGGAAAAACAAAACAAGACAAACAAACAAAAACAGTATGGGGCCTGGGGTTGTAGCTCAGTGGTAGAGTACTTGCCTAGCATGTGTGRGGCCCTAGGTTCGATCCTCAGCAYCACATAAAAATAAATAAATAAAATAAAGGCATTATGTCCAACTACATCTAAAAATAAATGTGATTTTTTWAAACCCAGTTCTGAAGATGAAAGATGTTACAGGAATTGGGCAAAAGGTTAGTATACTTGGTTCCACTAAAAACATGTAAGTCATATGTTATAAAACATTGGCCTACTCTTCAGTGACTATGGAATATACAAGCTGTGTCTTAGACCTTAGTTTTGTTTTGCTATAACAGAATATCTGACACTGGGTTATTTACACAACCAGAAATTTATTTCCCATAATTCTGGAGGCTGAGAAGTCCAAGATCGAGATACTAGTAAATTAGA